CTCCTCCTGCCTCTGTTCGTCAAGCTTCCCCTTCCATATTCCGTCTTCATCTTCCATCCTTCCTGCGCTCTTGAGAGCGCGCTCCTCCGCCTCCTCCTCCTTTTCCTTCTCCTCCTCCTCCTCCTCCTCCTCCTCATCCTTCTCCTTCTCATTCTCCTCCTCCTCCGCGAACTCAACATTCCTGCTGCTCCTCCTCATCCTCCTCAACTTCCTCCTCCTCCTCCTCCTCCTCGTCCCTGGTCATCCTACTCATTCTCACCAAAATCCATCAGGAGAGCCATGGAGGCGGAGACGGGAAGACCTCATCCCCCTCCTCCATCGCATCCTCCCACCCTCGATCATCGATCGAGGATCGAGGCTTCGGGACGACTCTGGCCTGCAGAGGCCTCCGCGCGGTAGAGGTCTACAGCTCTCGCGGTTCTGACCGCCCTTCAGCCGATGTCCATCGGTATTAGTATGCAGATGCCTGAGGTCCGGGTGGCAGTGATCGACCTAAAGATTGTTTTCCTTTCTCGTACTGCTGTCGTTTCCCCGCGTTCTGTCTTGTTCCCACACGTACTACATAACTTAATCGAGACAAAACGGCCAACGAAATCGCCAAAACTCACAGGGGGAAGGAGTACCATGTCGAACGATGTCGTTCGATCGATGTCGAGATGCAGAGGCGAGCGAGCGAGCGCCGACGTCGCTCCGCGCGTGCGCCTGGAGTGCCTTCCAGAAAGACGTCAGCCCGGCGGTTCCTCGATCCGCGCGCGTGGGCGACGCGTTGTCAATTGGCAGAGTGGACCCCCGCGATGAGCTGTCCAACTCACCTCATTCAGGGCTGCAATTGAACACGTTCTGCGCACATGTCACTGTCCTGCGCCTCTGAATATCCACCCGATGATCGAAACCCAAAATTGCTTGCTATGGGATATGTGTAGCGCATCAAATGCAATACACTCAAGACTTCAAACTGAATCCATTGTCCCCAATGCTCCTGTCTCTGGTGTTATCGGTTCGTCCCCGCGGCAAACCTAGGATCACACGTAGCATCCGGCGTTGGGTCGGCATCGCAAGCTGCTCCAATTCAACAGTAGCCATCCATGAAATAAAGCGATAGAGCACTGTTGGTGGTAGTGCCATTAAATCGCCAGAATGTGTCGCAGCGGGTACGATCGGCAAAGCAGTTGTTGCTGGAATAACACCACGACTTGGTCGAATCGGTTTGGGCGCGTGCAACTATATTTGATCATCTTATCGATTGCAATTACCCGACACGTGCCCGCCCCTTTCTAGAAGCGTGGCGACTATCAATAATACCGCACAGTACACAAGAACGCATTGAAAGACCTGCGGCACTCTTGGACACTTCACCAAACAGCATCGGAACACGCCAGCTCGTCCGAAAAGTGTCGACCGATGCGCGCTTCGCAACCCCCACCCCAAGGAGCTGCATGGTCTCGTCTAAGTCCGCGTGGCACTCCACTCCGCTGGACCCCTCCCAGGAACACACGACAGTGGAGACAACTGCGCACTTGGCAACCCCTCAGGGAACCGCGAAGTCTCGACTGGATCTGCGCGGCACCCCATGCCGACCTCCCACGAGCCAACGAAAATGGCGACAGTTGCGCAGCTGGCAGCCCCCAGTGAGCCGCGAGGTTGCGACTAGATCTGCGCGTCGGTCTGCTCCGCGAGAGCCCCCAGGAGCGCACAGACGGTGCCGACGGGCGCGCAGCTGGCAGCCGTCCAAGAAAGCGGCGAGGTCTCGTCTGAGTCGGCGTGGCACTCCACTCCGCTGGACCTCCCAGCAACGCACAAAGGCCGCGACGGTGACACAATTGGCAGCCCCCCCAAGGAAACCGCGAGGTCTGGCACCGACAATCGCGCCGTTGGCAGACCCCAGGGAGCCGCGAGGTCTCGTCTGGGTCCGCGTGGCCTTCCACCCCGCTGACTTCCCAAGAGCCCACGAAAGTGGAGACACATGTGCAGTTGGCAACTCCACGGGGAGCAGCGAAGTCTCGGTTGGGTCCGCGTGGTACCCCATTCCGCTAGACATCCCAGCAACGCACGAAGGTGGCGACAGCTGCGCAGCTGGCAGCTCACAAAGAGCAGCGAGGTCATGTTTGGGTCCGCGTGGCACTGCGCTCCGCTGGAATTTCAAGCAATGCCCGCTAGTAGCGACTATTGCGCCGTTGGCAGTCAGGGAGCAGCGAAGTTTCGTCTGGGCCCGCGTGGCACTCCACTCCGCTGGACCCCCCAGCAAAGCCCAAAAGCAGCAGCAGATGCGCAGCTGCCAGTTCCCCAGGAAGCAGCGAGGTCTCGTCTGGGTCCGCGTGGCACTCCACTCCGCTGGACCTCCCAGGAGCACACGAAACTGGTGAGAGTTGCAAATTTGGCAGCCCCCACAGAGAGCGAGTGAGAGAAAGAAAGAAAGAAAGACAGACAGACAGACAGACAGACTGACAGACTGACAGACAGACAGACAGACAGACAAGCAGACAGACAGGCAGACAGACAGAGACAGACAGACAGACAGACAGACAGACAGAAAGACAGACAGTCTCTCGGGCTCCCACGTCGCTGGGGCGCCCCCCACCCACGCCTCGAGGGCGCGCCCCAGCCGCGCCTGGGGAACGAGGGCCATGACGCAGACCCCAGCCGGATTGCACCGGCGCGATCGCGGGGGCGTCAGAAAACTGCACGCGCATGGTCGCGAGTCACAGACCACGAGCCAGGCACGCCAGGGCAGCGAGAGAGAGGGAGAGGGAGAGGGAGAGGGAGAGGGAGAGGGAGAAGGAGAAGGAGAAGGAGAAGAAGAAGAAGAAGAAGATCAGCGCCTAGCGAAGGCTGCAATTCTCGGACTGCTACCCAGGGTTTCGCGGTTCACCCCACACCTCCTCGGCCCCAGGACCCCCGTGCTTACGCAGACTCTTTACGGGTTTAACACGAACCCTCCTGGCCAAGCGGCGCAGGGGAGGAGGGGGAGGAGGCAGAGGGGAGGAGCAGGAGCCCCCCCTACTTCAGCTGGGCCGTGAAGCCCTGCAGCCCCGCGCCTAGGACCTTGGAGGCCCGCGCCAGCTCGCGCTGCTCCTGGTCGCTGGGCAGCTGGCCAACCTGCCCCAGCAGCCAGAGCCGCGCTTCGGCCCCGATCCTTCCGCCGGTCTCCAGGACGAACGGCGTCAGCTGCGCGCCCGGGCACCGCGCGCGCTCGCCGCGCTCGCCCCGGCGCCCCGCTTCCCCGTCGCGCCGAGCGGCCACCCTCAGCTCGGCAGCCGTCCCCGCCACGGGGTGGCGGACGGCGACGTCCAGCCACCTGCGGCCTCCGTCGTCCTGGTACTCAATGTCCAGGATCGCGCGTTCGAAGCGCCCTCCGCGGAAGCGGTCCCACGATGGGGCCCCTTGCTCGAACAGCGGCCTGTCGCCCCGCCAGCGAGCGAGCAGCCCCCCCAGGCGCCGCGCGAGGTGGCCGCGGCGAGCCACGACCCCGCCTCCGAGCTGGCAGGTCAGCGCGTGGTAGCCCTGGCGGTCGAGTGCCCCGCCGCAGCTAGCTCCGCTCGCCGCACGCAAGCAGAAGGCCAGCTCCGCCGCGGCTGCCCCTGTCAGCTCTTGCTGCGAGAGTTCCGCTCTGGGAAGCTGCAGCCGCTGCCGCGTCGCCGTCTCCAGCGCGCGCCCTCCAGGGCGCAGAGGGCGCAGTCTGGGCACGCCAGGAAGCCGGCGCCCCCGGGCCCGCGGCGCATCGCAGCGCGACCTGCTGCAGAAGGGGCAAACGCTCCAGCAGGGCTGCGCGCTGTGTCTTTTGCACCTTTTCCGTAGCGAGGCCTTGCCGCAAGGGCGTGCTGAGCGCCGTTGCCATGTCTCCGCCAGCCGCCAGGTACAGCCCTTGGGCACGAAGCCCCTGGCGGGCGGTCTCCAGCTGCCCCGCGGCACGAGGTAGCTTCTCCAGGCAGTCAGCCAGCGCGCCGCAGCCGAGGTCCTGGGCCACCTCTGCGTCGGCGGCCGCCCAGAAAGCCAGGAAAGCTGCGTGCCTCCGCGCGGAGGCGAGCTGGGCCCCGACGCCCCCTTCTCTGGCGGGCAGCGCCAGCAGCGCCAACGCTGTCTCCCCCAGGTCGCGCCGTAGCAGCGCCTGCCAGCTGGCCGCCAGCTGCTGGTCGTAGCGCGCCATGGCTGCGTCTGCTGCCTGCTCCATCCTCAGGGAGCACTGGCTCGCTGGCCCTGCGTAGGCCCGCAGCAGCGCGCCGGCCGTCTGTTTGCTGAGCCCGGCTTTGCTTAGTTTTAGCAGCTCGTCTGTAAGGTCCTGCAGCCGGCGCTCCGCTCCCCCCAGGCTGTCTGCTGGCTCCCTCAGGCTGGCTGGCGCGCTAGCGTCCGCGTCTCCAGGCGGGCGCAGGTGTTTCCCGAGCACAGGCAGGCTCGGTGTCCAGCATATTGTAAGTTACTCGTCAGAACCCCCCGTCCTGCAGGGGGACCAAACTGCTGTTTTGCGCCGGTTAAGCCGCAGCCCGAAAGGGCCGATGACTCGCTCTAGGGCCTGCAGCGCGAATTCGGTCAGTTGCGCGACGACGACCAGGTAGCAGTCGTCGACATAACACTACAACTTCGCCTCTGGGTCCAAGCGCAGGAGCTCGAGCATGAACCCGTCCAGCGGCTCCCTCTGTGCCACTGCAAAGCCAGCAGGCGATAGCGGGTCTCCCTGGTCGAAACCCCGCGCGCTGTCGATAGGGTGGAACTTCCCCGAGGAGTCTCTCAAGAGGTGCTGCGCCGAGCCTCCGTACCATGCCCTGAGGGCAGAAGTCACCTCCGCCTCGTGCGCGGACATCGCCCCGGCGGCTGGCTCTCGCTCCAATGACGGGAAGACGGCCTCGAAGTTCAGCTTGGGGAAAACCGCTGTCCGCCTGGTCTCGGTTTGGCCCTCTAGCTTCCGGAGCAGCAGCTCTGCTCCGCCAGCCCGCCCGACGCCTCACTGCCTCTCTAACGGCCTGTCGCAGCTGCTCCTTCTTCACACGCACGAGAGCGCGGAGGCCGGGACGCCGCACAGAGGCGCTGACTAGGGGCGGTCTCACCCCGTCGTCGCTTTTGCGGTACGCTGCGACTTCGCAAGTGCGCGGAGCCTACAAGACGTCGTCCGGCAGCAACAGACAGACAGACAGACAGACAGACAGACAGACAGACAGACAGACAGACAGACAGACAGACAGACGGACAGACGGACGGACGGACGGACGGACGGACGGACGGACGGACGGACGGACAGACGGACAGAAACAGACGGACAGACGGACAGACGGACGGACAGGCAGACGGGCAGACAGGCAGACAGACAGACCGAGAGAGACATGAGACAGAGAACGAGACAGAGACAGACACAGAAATGTGCTGTCAGCCAAACCTGCAGGGTGGGCCCTTTCCATGTTTCTGTGCACTTCAGCTTTGGCCTCGCCTCGGCTTCAGCTGTGGGTGCGCCGCGAAGCGCCTTCGGGCCAGCTCACCCGCGTCGGTTTTCCACTCAAATGGTTGCCCCCCCTCAGGTGGTGTTTGCGAGTTCCAGGGCCCAGAAAAAGGGTACCGAACGCCGAAAAGGGCGAAAAGCTTCCAGCGCGAGTCTCCCGAGTCGCCGGAGAGTCTGGGTCCCTCCGTGGGCGTCTGCAGGGGTGCCCAGAGATACCCAAAGGTCCCCACGGGCCTCCGCGGATGCCCGCGGGCCTCCGGAGCTCTCTGGATGCCCAAAGGGCCGAGAATCTCCAAACAGCACTGCCCTCGATCCCCCCTCGATCCCCCTCGACGCGATGCCGTCGCGCCCCTGCGTGGGTCGGGGATGAGGCTCCGGGTTCGGGGGACTCGTGCGGGCTGGACGGGGCCGTCAGAAAAACGGCGAGATCCAGTCTGAAGTTTGACGCGAGCTCCGGCCGCAAACCCGAGTGCCAGCGAGCTCTGGCCTTCTCTTTCCCCGAGGGGGACCTCGAGGCTCCTGGTGATCAGACCAGGCGCCCGAGGGTGGGGAGAAGCTCGGCGGCCGAAGAAGCCCGGAGCGCGGGGCGCCTGGGCACCGTGCTCGTCGGCCACGTCGCCCTGGTACCTGGGCTGCAACGGGGCCGCAGCGGGGCCGCAGCGGGGCCGCCGAGGGCCCGCCGAGGCCCGCCGAGGCCCACCGGGGGCCCAGCGAGGGCCGCCGAGGGTCGCCGAGGGCCACCGAGGGCCGCCGAGGGCCGCGGGGCGGCGCGCGCAAGAGGGGGAGGGGGAGGGGGAGGGGGGCATCCTGCCTGCTCTTCCCGAAAGGTCCTGGGAAGAGGATCCTCCCTGCAGGAGGGGGAGGGGAAGAGGGATCCTCCCTGCAGAAAGAAAAGGGGGAGGGGGAGGGGGAGGGGGAGGGGGAAGGGGGAGGGGGGAGAGGCAAGCTAGGTGCGCTCGCGTCATATCTGACGTTCTACCCCTCCCTCCCGTCCCTTACCATGGCGTAAACCTCTTCTCTATTCGCACAATCGGATGTCGTAGCATGGCATAGCATATGGCATAACATGGTGTTGAAGATGAACGCGTAGCATGACATAGCATGGCGTGGCGACGCCCCGAAGTGGGGAGGGGGGGCGTTTGCGACCCAAAAAATCAACGAATCGTCACCGAATGTGCAATCACTATCGATGGTTTTTTCGGGGGGCATTTTCTAGATTTTGACGCCTATTTGGAAGGACCGAAAACCATGCCGTGGCATGGCGCTGGAAATAATGACGCCAACGCTGCAGCGGGAGCACGATTCGGAACGAGCGGAAGCGCGGAAATAACGCCAGCGCTGCAGCGGGAGCACGATTCGGAACGAGCGGTGGTCCGAAAATGAAGCCAGCGCCTCATCGAGAGCAGCATTTTGAAAAAAAGACCAAGCGAAAACCCGTTTCCAGGGAATCCGGTGCAAGAAACCAAAACGCGAAGGAGGGGCCGGCCATTTCCCGGACGTCACCAGGGGGGAGAGGAGAGTAGTATTCATATTGTGTAGTTGTGGAGAGGATAAGGGAGAGGGATCCCCCGAAGGTCCCCGGAAAACCCCCGAGCACTCCAGAAAGGTCTCCAGGCCACTTTTTCATCCCGCGTCGTTGTGGGAGGCCTAGGGCATGATAGGGCCGCCCGAATGCCGTGTTCGAGGGCTGCGATTGCATCCCGAGTCGTTTTTTGAAGGCCCTGGGGCCCGGCAAGGGCCCCCGAAAACCAAAATGAGGTAGACGTTCCGTCGTGCTTTTGTGTTCACGGCGGAAGGGGGCTCTGGGTCATACACCCATGCTGTTTCCCCCAGAACCAGCTTCTCATCCCGATCAGTTGTTTGACAGTTCTGGGGGCGGGGAGGGCCAGGGAGCCCGATGACAGCGAGAACCTCCAGGAGCCCCCCCTTCCTTTCATGCCGATCCCACCCCCCAAAGACTTGGTGCTGGCAAGATGGCGTGCAACATCGAGCTCCGAAACGCATGCCATCCGAACGAGGCGAGCCCCCCGCGAGGGCTGCGCACGCCACCCCCCTGGCTTGGCTGCTTCGGTGCACGCCACCCCCCGAGATGGGGGACGGCGTGTCGTGAGCGGGCCAGCGGCGCCCCATCGCACTCTGTCCATGCAGAACGCCAACCGTAAGGCGGGAGGTGCCCGAGAAAAGCGGCGTCCACCGAGCGGAGGCGGCGGGGGGGCGCCAGCCGCCCCGTGGGCTCAGCCGGCCGGAGACCTGCGGCGGGGCCAGGGCGTCCTCCATCTCGTTCCCTCCCTCCCCTCTCCCCTTCCCCTCCTCCCCTCTCCCCCATCCTCTCTTACATTCCCCTCTCCCCCTCCCCTCCAGGATGGCACAATATGAATACTACTCTCCTCTCTCCCCTGACTCTGTCCGGGGGTATTGTGCCCTCTGCGCGTAGTGTTCGTTTAAACACAGTGGATTTCAAAAGGTGCCATGTCATATGTGCTTTGACGCTCCGATTTTTCTCGGTGTTTCAAACTCCCACCAGCCCTTTAGGGCTACGGTGGTATAACGAGTTTGTTCTTCTCTCTTCCCCTTCCTTCCCCTGCTCCGGGGAGGGGTTTACCCCTCCCCCTACCCCCTCCCCTGGACCTGGAGAGGGGGGGGCGGAGGCGCCGCAGCGTCCAAGATGACCCAGGATGGTTCCAAGAGGCGCTCCAAGTCGCAAGATGGCCTCCAAGATGGCCCAAGGTACTCCAAGATGGGTCAAGATAGCCTCCGACATACCTCCAAGAGGCCCCAAGACAGCCCCAAGACGGATCCAAGTGCCCCTCGAGCCCTCCACGGCGCCCTCCAACACTCCAAAACCCTTCAAAAGTCTGGGGGAAATCAATGTTTTTGGCATTCTCGCCTTCTCGCGTACGATGGGCCTCTGGGACCTCAAGATGGCCCCAAGATGGCCCAAGAGAGCCCCAAGAGGGGCCCAAGAAGGCCCAAGACGGCCCCAAGATCGCCCAAGAGGCGTCCAAGAGCGCCCCAAGAGAGCCCCAAGACGCCATTTTTGAGCCTCCGAGGGGGCGGTACTAATTGAGGGGCCAACTCTTTTTGAGCCATGGGGTCCAAGATGGCCCCAAGAGGCCTCCCAGCCTCTCCCAAAGACCCTCCACCCCGCCCTTTTTGGCCCAAGATGGCTCCAAGAGAGCCCCAGATAGCCCAAGATGGCCTTCAAAATGGCCTAAGATAGCCAAGCATGGTTCAAGAAAGCCTCCGACAGCCCTCCAAGAGGCCTCAAAGCAGCCTCATGATGGCCCAAGATAGCCGAGCATGGCTCAAGATAGCCTCCGACAGCCTCTAGCCGAGCATGGCTCAAGATAGCCTCCGAGAGGCCTCAAGAAAACTGGCAATCAATCCCACCAGCCCTTTGGGCGTGAGTGGTTTAGAGAGCCCGCTCTGTTCTCAACCCCCCTTCTTCCCCTTCGGGGAGGGGTTTACCCCTCCCCATACCCCCTACCCCTGGGCCTGGAGAGGTCCTTCCGCGGGTCGTCAGGGGGGTAATTTTCGACTCCTGGGAGGGCTAAAAAACGACACCCCTCACGAGGATTCTGGCCCCGACGGGGGGGGGCAGAAAAAACACTCTCCTCTTCTTTGAAGCCAAAATCATTGATTTTACTACGGTTCTGGCCCCATTTTGGCCTTCTGAGGGGGCAGCGCTCATTAAAGCTCCCCTCTTCTTTCAAGGCAAAATCATTGATTTTACGAAGGTTTTGGGCTCATTTTGCCCTTCTGAGGGGGCAGCGTTCATTAAAGCTCCCCTCTTCTTTGATCGATTCCCTCCAAGATGGCCCCAAGAAGCGCCCAGGAGGCACCAAGAGGCCCCAAGATGGCCCCAAGAGGCCCCCAGGAGGCCCCCAAGAGGCCTCCAAGAGGCCCCCAAGATGCCCCCAAGAGGCCCCCAAGAGGCCCCAAGAGGCTCCCCCGAGGCACCCAAGACGCTCCTGGAAGCCCCTGGGGCCGCCAAGAGGCCCCCAAGACGCCCCAAACGGCCTCCAAGAGGCTCCCAAGAGGCCCGAAGAGGCTCCCCCAAGGCACCCAAGACGCTCCTAGAAGCCCCTGGGGCCGCCAAGAGGCCCCCAAGACGCCCCAAAAGGGGACGAGGTGCCCGAACGCCTCACGCCACGAGGAGCCCGAACGACTCACACCAGGACGAGGGGCCCGAACGACTCACACCACGAAGAGCCCGAACGACTCACACCAGAAGGAGGGGCCCGAACGACTCACACCAGGACGAGGCGCCCGAACGACTCACACCACGAGGAGCCCGAACGACTCACACCACGACGAGGGCCCCGAACGACTCACACCACGAGGAGCCCGAACGAGTCACACCAGGAGGAGGGGCCCGAACGACTCACACCAGGACGAGGGGCCCGAACAACTCACACCACGAGAAGCCCGAACGACTCACACCAGGACGAAGAGCCCGAACGACTCACACCACGAAGAACCCGAACGACTCACACCAGGAAAAAGGGCCCGAACGACTCACACCCGGACGAGAAACCCCAAACGACTCAAACCACGAGGAGCGATTTCTCTCCCTCCTCCTCCGCCTCGTCCTTTTCCCGTTCCCCCCACAAGGAGGATGTACAAGGAGGCGGGAGGAAGGAGTAACAGGGGAGATATGCGGGGCCAAGCGGACACACGCCTGAAAAACACGACTGTCGGCATGCTTCGCAAGAGTTGTTGTTGTTGTGGAATGGGCTGGTGGGGATACGCGAAGCGTAAAGAATTATGGATGGGTTGGTGGGTTTTTTTTGTTTTTGGTCGCGGCCGCGAGACAAAGGTCAGGCGGCAAAAGCAAAGTCTGGGGCACGAACGAGGCGAATTAGCTACAACAGGCCCAGGCCGGCCGGCCCGCTCACAAAGCAGCCGCGAAGCTGAATGGGAACTGACGGCAGGGGTATCCTGAGAGCTCGAGCACGTGCACAGACAAAATGTCATGGAATTCGGTGCCAGCCACGTTATGAGACGTGACCCAGGATAATCAAGTCCGTCAATCTGAGCGGGGGCAAGTGGGAGGCCAGTGGAGTGAGTCGCTGGTGGGGCGCCAGGCTCCAAACGCCATGACGACGTGAGCTAGCCAGGGGGGCTGAGCTGTCGCAAACCGTGATGCCACGCAACTGGTGGGGATATGTCCCAACCCTCCTGCGTTGGGCCCTCGTTTTGAATTGAGCATTGTTCGCGCGTCTGCTTCCTTCCTTCCCGTCCATCTCTTCCCCCCTGCCTTTTACCTCGCTCGTCGCCATCCCTGGGGGGTTGCGATCTGTGAAACTGTCACCACATTCGAGGCCTGCTGGGGGGCCCAGCACAGTGGGTACCCACCGCAAACTCAAATGGGACCTCGCCATCCCTGGGGGGCTGCGATTTGTGAAACTGTCGCCACTTTCGAGGCCTGCTGGGGGGCCCAGCACAGTGGGTACCCACCGCAGACTCAAATGGGACCTCGCCATCCCTGGGGGCTGCGATCTGTGAAACTGTCGCCACTTTCGAGGCCTGCTGGGGGGCCCAGCACAGTGGGTACCCACCGCAGACTCAAATGAGACCTCGCCAGCCCTGGGGGGCTGCGATCTGTGACACTGTCGCCACTTTCGAGGCCTGCTGAGGGGCCCAGCACAGTGGGTACTTACCGCAGACTCAAATGGGACCTCGCCATCCCTGGGGGGCTGCGATCTGTGAATATGTCGCCACTTTCGATGCCTGCTGAGGGGCACAGCACAGTGGGTACCCACCGCAAACTCAAGTGGGACCTCGCCATCCCTGGGGGGCTGCGATCTGTGAAACTGTCGCCACTTTCGAGACCTGCTGAGGGGCCCATCACAGTGGGCTCCCCGCACGTCTTTCTCCTGCTCTTCGTTCCCGACTCCCCATGTCCTCTTCGAGCCTGTAGCTGTTGCCCCTCTTTCTTGTATGGTTCTCCTGCGCATAATGCCATAGGCGCGTGTCCCAAGTAGCTTACATATCAAACAACGGATCCTGCAATGTGATTGTCCATGGAAGTTTCGGCCAACTCCTCGTTTCCCATGATACAGATGGGTTGGGTACGTCACAGGGTATTTTTTGGTCGCGGCCGCGAGACAAGGGTCAGGCGGCAGAAGCAAAGTCCGGGGCGCGAACGAGGCGAATTAGCTACAACAGGCCCAGGCCGGCCGGCCCGCTCACAAAGCAGCCGCGAAGCTGAATGGGAGCTGACGGCAGGGGCATCCTGAGAGCTCGAGCACGTGCACAAACAAAATGTCATGGAATTCGGTGCCTGCCACGATATAAGACGTGAACCAAGATAACCAAGCCCGTCGATCTGAGTGGGGGCAAGGGGGAGGCCGGTGGAGTGAGTCGCCGGTGGGGCGAAATGCTGGTGGGGATACTTTTTGATTGCGGCCACCAGGCAACGGTCAGGCGGCAAGAGCAGTGTCCGGGGCAACGGCACAATGCGAGTTGGCGAACGCAGCAGCTAGGATGGCAAGCTGGGACGCGCCTGCAAGCAGGAAGCATTTGCACATGCACAATACAAAATGAACTAGTTCAAAGCTACGGAGTGAGTCGCCGGATCGGCGCCAGACTCCGAGGCAAGCTCACGCCTACCGGCAGGCTGGAAGCGGGCAAACCGTGAAGAACAAAGCAAGCGGCCATCGGACGGCTGAATCGACCGAGGCGCTGACCACGTCGTCCGTGCCCAACCGCAGTAGCCCGCGATGGAACGGAGCACACCCATCTGGGCGACCTGACGGGACAGACCGCCTAAAGGCAGGACCGGCGGGGCGTACCCCAGCCTGACCGGAAAAGCCGGCCACTCAGAGTCGCTCAGGTCACGAAGTGTTCGGAAAGCTGCTACCGACGACCCAGAGCGCGGCTGTCGCTGAACCTGGGTGCGCATTCCGACGGCAAGCACCTCTGCCAACCTCGGGGGCCAGCGCTGTGTGCCGGTGCCCTGCGAAGCTCCTGCCGGGAATGAGGGGTGCAGCTGACCGCCGCGAAAGACGGTTAACACCACACGCTCACCAAGCCGAGTTCACCCGCGATGTGAGGGAACCGCTGACTGCCGCGGAGCACCGCTGCTGTTGGCAGACTGCACCAGCATGTCCAGGTTCTTCGAGGCGCAACTCCCGTGCCGGCGAAGCGTCAAGAATTGTGTTCCCGCTGCAGCGTGGGCCTTATTCTCGGATCGGCGGTTTGCTCCCGTCGTTCAGAATGGCGGTCTCGCCCTGCGTGGACCACTTTTCTGCATCCGACAGGCCTCGCGGGTCCCACAGGTCTCGCAGGTCTCGCAGACCCACAGGTACCACAGGTCCCACAGGTCCCACAGGTCCCACATAACCCACAGGTGTCGCAGGTTGTCCCACAGCGTACCACGGGTACCACAGGTCTGACAGGGTCCACAGGTCCAACAGGTATCGCAGGTCCCACAGGTCCCACAGGTCCCACAGGTCCCACAGGTCCCGCATTTCCCGCAGGTCCCACGAAGGCCCCCCAGGTCCCACAGGACCCACAGCTACCACAAGTCTGACAGGTCTCGCAGGTCACGGAGGACCCACAGTTCCCACAGGTCCAAACAGGCGTCGCAGGTCACACAGGCCCCACAGGCCACAAAGGTCCTCCAGGTCGCACAGGCCCCACAGGTCCTACAGGTCCACAGTTCACGCCTGCCCCACAGGTCCCATAGGCCACAAAAGTCTCCAAAGGCTCCGCAGGTCCCACAGATCGCACAAGTCCCACAGTTTCCACCTGCCCCACAGGTCCCTATCAGGGTGCCTTGCTGGGGTAATGGAGCTCCAGGTCGGCTATGACACGTCCGCGGATATACACAGAACAAGAACTGTGAAGTGGGATGGGACGGAAGGGAGGGATAGGATGTCAGATGAGGCGCGATTGCACTTAGCTTGCCTCCCTCCCATCCTCCCCTCCCCCCTCGCCCTCTCCTCTCCCCCTCCCCTCTCCATCGCCCCTCCCCCTCCCATCCTGGCAGGAGGATCGAGGCTGGAGGGTCGAGGCCTTTGAGCGTCTAGGAATTCGAGCCTCTCGGAGACTTCTCGTCACCACGGATGGATCTGCCTCGAAGTCCTGGTTTCTGCGCACTCCTGAAAGAGGTCACGGTAGAGATAGTTTTTTATTGTTCGGCGATAACCAAGGTTATACGGGAGAGTGTGGGGGGGGGGGAGCGGGGGCGGGGGGGCGAAACCTAACCTTTTGGCTGTGGTCAGCCCCACGTATGCCCGCGCGCACCAATACTGCGCACCCCTTCTAAATCCAAAAAAGACTAGTGTCCTTCCCAGATCCCCTCACATCGTGAAGCAACGAACGGCGGGATGAGCTTGCTCGCTGCCGGCCTCTGGGGAGCCGTGCCAAGCCCTGGGGGGCCTCAGAGGATACTCGGAATGAAAAGCCAGTCCTTGGAGAAGGGGTCGAGACCTCCAGGGGTCCAGGTTTATCTATTTCGGGAGGTCTGGGCTCCTGGCTGGGGACGAAGGAAGAAGCAGGGGGGGGGGAGAGAAGCGAGACGGAGAAAAAATGTGAAGAGCGAAAGAGGAGCAAAAAACAGGAGGAGGCAAGGAGTGAAGGGGGAGGAGAAGGCAGGGAATAAAGGAGAAGCTATGAGCGCACCGCCATTGAGAAGAAGACGAGAACGAACGCATAGGAATGGCATGGCGAGGAGCCCAACCCTGGTGTAGCTGCATAGCTGCGTGTAGCAGCAAGGTTCGGGGGGAATGCCAAACTGGGCGGAGGGACGCCATGGTGCGCACCCATGTGCCGAAATGGGCGGTGGGAGAAGGGCGCGCCAACTGGGGGGCGTAGGCAGAGCCCCGTATGGGGGTAGGTGGCAAATCCGCGCGAGAGGTCTGCCGAAATGAGCGGAGGGGCGCTATAGGGGCGCGCCTACTGGGGCCGTCGGTGGAGATCCCTGTGAGGCGCGATCCGTGTGACGGGTGTGCCGAGATTGACAGGCAGCACAGCAGCAGTGGCAGGAAAGGTACATAGGACAGGGGGTGAAGGAGAGGGTGAAGACACGCGGCGTAGCGGAGATAAAACCAGGACTCAACAGCACAGGAGGGCTGGGCAAAGAAACAACACCGCATGAAGATTTGGAACATGAGCAGCTAAGCTTCAAGGAAGACACCTTACTCCCCCGCCTCGCGTGCGGAGAGGGAGGCTCACGCCCGCCTTCTTCCCCGAGGCGTGTGTCTCGTCGTAGCGAAGGCGGCCCTGAGGGGGCAGCAGCAGGGACGCTCGCTGCAGGCCGCGGCAATAGACGACCGCGTTCCACTACTCGCAAAGTAACTACTCGCAAATGGCCTGGATCCACCACGGGGGATCTACGATGAATTACATCAATGCAAACATGTGATTTTCGGACGTTTTCGAATAGACACTTTGCGAGTAGTGGAACGCGCTCGGTGCCTCCGCGCCAGACTTCCGGCCCCCTGCCTCGAATAGTGCCTGCGCCGGGAGCGCCGCTCCACTTGTGCGCTGGTGGAGCAGAGACAGGAGCAGCAGGAGCAGGAGAGGCAGGGAGGCTATAGTTGAGAACCAGAGGCAAAGGCAGGAGAAGGAGCAGGAGCAGGAGCAGGGGCAGGGGCAGGAGCGGGAGGGGCAGAAGAAGACGGGGAAGGGCGCGAGCAGGCAGGCGGCCTGCCTCTCCAACCAGCCTCCGACCATCCAGAGGTACTACCACGACTTGGCAACTTCGCATGACTGCACGTCCGCAGCCCAGTAAAATGGAGGAGGAAGAAGAACAACACGTGCCCGATGCGTTTACTGCGACTCGCCGATGTGGCGCCATATTGAGATCTCCTCGCGAGCCAGGCGATGCACAGCTCCCGCTCGACTTCCTCCACTCCTCCACTCCCTCCCGTCCTCCTCCTCCTCCTCCAACTCTCCTCCTGCCGCAGGGTCCGCGGGCCGCCTCCGGCGCCACACGCAGGTGGTACTCCGAGGGCTTGGTGCCGTACAGCCAAGTGCCCGCCAACTCGCGCGCGCGCGCGCAAGGCCCGCACCAGGGTTGCCTGGCTTCGCCGCGAAGCGTGGCTGTCATCGCGCACTTGCGCTGCCCCCGATACCAGCGGGAGGGAAGAGGGACGCGGATGAAAGGAGGAGGCCAGGGGGGGGCACATGAAACAGGGGAGGGCCGGGGCGTTCCTCCTCGTCCTCCTCCTCCTCCTCCTCCTCCTCCTCCTCCTCCTCCTCCTCCTCCCCTCCTCACTCCTCATCATCATCATCATCATCATCATCATCATCATCATCATCATCATC